ATTTTATGTTACATGGAGTGATGAAACAGTTATTAATAACATATGGTAATATTTCATGGGTTATTGAATGTAGTGATGAAACAGTTATTAATAACATATGGTAATATTTCATGGGTTATGGGAATTCTTACAGGTGTAGCTGTGGGTTATACCGGCACGCCTGACCCATCTTTTTCGTGTGGTGACCAGTTTGGCTACTACCCAGACCCTGCGGATTGCAGCAAGTACTACATATGTGTGTTTGGAGATGCTCTTCACGAGACTTGTACAGGAGGTCTGTACTTCAGCACTCGACTACAGACTTGTGATTGGCCGATAAACACACAATGTGGAGATGGTAAACACCTGTTTCCTTACAAAACTTTTATTTGATGGTTTCTCATCTTTGACAATGTTTTATAGTAAATTGACAAACAACGATTTATGAAGTAGTTTTATTTCGGGGAACCGACTATGTGTTTCGACAGGACATTAAACTCTCTTCTTCCCCAAAATAAAACCGTGTCATTATATTTATACATCGTTGTTTGTCAATTCACGATTATATTAGCATTTTGTGCTTCCAAATACAAGATCAAAATCCTATGTTTTCATAAGACGTAATATAGATGCTAATGTTACGGTCCTAATTAGGGCTGGTGGTTAGGGCAATCGACTCGAGTCCTATCAGTAAACGTGCTCGCCTTTTCTGCCGCTATAATTTCCTCTCAGTGACTCAGTGGTAACTCTGTATTCTCACGACACTAAAAATCAAGTTTCGACACCCGTGGTGGGCAGAACACAGATAGCCCATTGTGTAACTTTGTGCTTAACAATAATCAAACCAAAATAAACCTAATTAGTAATTTATTGTTGGTTAAAGTCACTACAAGGACGTTCTTGTTTTCTCAAACCAAAATAAACCTAATTAGTAATTTATTGTTGGTTAAAGTCACTACAAGGACTGTTCTTGTTTTCTCAAACCAACGTAAACCTAATTAGTAATTTATTGTTGGTTAAAGTCACTACAAGGATGTTCTTGTTTTTCGTATTACGATATTTAAAACCAAGTTAAACGATATTCTTAAGAGTATCGTCATGGAAACCTTTACTTATTAATAATAATAGTAAATAATAAAAAGATAACCCTAACGTCCTCTTACTAAGCTGAAATCGGTGTATTTCCATAAGACCATTTTGAAGATTAAAATTAAAATTGTGTTTTTTTTTTTCAGGTTCACAGACCAACGACGAAAGTCACGAGAGTTTCCGTCGTCGTGGAGATGTTTTCTCCAGTGTAAGACGTAAACAGGGTTCATCCCCCAGTAGATCATCTAGCTACAACTATAGGTCAACGTTTAGGAATAAGGGAGCAGTTGTTGAAAGACCTGAGTTACGGTTGCCTATCAGTTCCACTTTTCCCCCGCCCCCAGACTCTCCCCTGATCACAGAATTAAAGTCACATCAACGTGTAAATCCAGACGGTCAGAGAGAGGTTAATCATGGAGTGAAGTTTAACTCCCACTATCAAGGTAGTCTGCTCCAATATGAAGAAGTTACACCTAAAACAGAGACACCTGGCGTAGACTTGGGAATTAATCGACCTTCAGATGTATCTGATCTTAAAGTATTTGTGAAACCAATCTCTCATAAAAATATTGATACAGAAACTCAGACTTACAACAACAAAGACAAACTAAAGGTATCTCAAATAATTGCTTCGAAAGATCCAGATATAGGGTCATATCTTGCGTTAGAGGAACACAATAGTGATCTTAAGGATGAGAAGAAGGACCTAGATATCAATACAAACAATGGGAAACACAAAGATTCAGATATAGGGTCATATCTTGCGTTAGAGGAACAAAATACTGATCTTAAGGATGAGAAGAAGGACCTAGATATCAATACAAACAATGGGAAACCCAAAGATCCAGATGCCATCCACGTTTATGGTAAAGATGTTGACAGTTATCAGGTATCTGGTGGAACTTCTCAATCCAATAAGAACAGACCAAATGAGCCAGAAGAACGTATAAGTTACGATGGTAAAGCTGAGTATCTTGCCACTAAAGATGGCGTGCGGTCTTGGAGAAGAAATAACGACAAATATGATAATCCAGATATGAGCTTATATACAAATAATGGCCACTATAAGGATACTTTGTCTTCCCTATCACCAAACAATGGCCGTTCCAAAGAGTCTGAGGCCTTGTCTTCCCTATCTCGAAATAATGGCCATTCGAAAGATCCAGATGTTTTACCTACCCTATTACTAAACAATGACCATTCCAAAGATCCTGACATCACACTGCCGACTCTGGCACCAACACTAACCCCAAACAGGTCTCATAAACTGTATGGCCAACCATCTTTGAACCACCGTTCTTCTCATAGCGACCCAAAGCAGTCTTTACAAGACCCAGACACTTTGGACGCTCAGTTTGGCACGAATCCTGTCATTGTAAGTGTGCCAGATCCCCCTATACAGCGTAATTATGATCAAGCCACGAATAGCAAATCACCCGTCACTAGAAAGGTTGGCCCCTTAAGTGCTAACAACGATCCTTCCCCGCTATCCAATTATAGGGACTATGGAGCAACCAATAGAACCTCACCTTATGAGACGAGTTCTCGTAAACTAACCAGAGCTTATATCACCAGGCCAACAACTGTTTCTACAGAAGCCACCACCACCACATCCACTAAAAGAACTCCCGCTGCTACTGGATTATCTAGAAGGGATTCTTACCCTAAACTAGCTGCACGACCCCCACCTCTGTACTCCACCCCAATTCCCTTAGAACCAGCTGACAACTGTAGCCCCAACACGTGCCGTCTTCCAGACTGCCGTTGTGGAGGAGCTAGTATTCCAGGAGATCTTCCAGTCAGCGAAACACCACAAGTGGTTCTTCTCACTTTTGATGACGCCGTGAATGCTTTGAACTATGACTTATACAAAGAAATATTCACAGGACGAAAAAACCCTAATGGTTGTCCAATTCTGGGGACTTTTTACGTATCCCATGAGTGGACAGATTATGCACAAGTTCAAACTCTTTACTCTGAAGGGCACGAGATGGCGTCTCATACCATCAGGTTTTTTTACTTTAGTGTTTGTACTTAGATACTGATTGTAGCAGTGTGACTTCTAATCAGGTTTTTTTTTACTTTAGTGTTTGTACTTAGATACTGATTGTAACAGTCAGACTTCTAATCAGGTTTTTCACTTTAGTGTTTGTACTTAGATACTGATTGTAGCAGTCAGACTTCTAATCAGGTTTTTTACTTTAGTGTTTGTACTTAGATACTGATTGTAGCAGTGTGACTTCTAATCAGGTTTTTTACTTTACTGTTTGTACTTAAATACTGATTGTCTGCTATTAGTATCGGAAATGTTTGATAGATATTATAATGTTTATTTTGGAAACTTTACTGGACTGTAACTGAGAATTGAAAGTACAGGATACGACGTTTCGGTTTCTATACCGAGGCCTCGTCTGACCGTGAAGACGGCCTCGGTATATAAGATGAAGTGTTGTTTCCTTTTCTTTCATCAGACAGTTTCAGTCCAGTGAAGTTTCAAATCCAACATGTCTGCTCTGCCTAAAGTTTCATTGGAACAAATTTTTCGTTTGATTACTTTTTTTTATTCTTCTAATAACCGTTCCTTTTTTTTTATGCAGTCACAGTTTTGGTGAAAAGTTCTCGAAAAACAGATGGTTTAAAGAGGTCCATGGTCAACGAGAGATCCTCCATCTTTACGGAGGAGTTAAGATGGAAGACGTCCGAGGAATGAGAGCACCGTTTCTGCAGGTCGGTGGTAACAACATGTTTGAGATGTTGTACGATGCCAATTTCACCTATGATTCTTCCATGCCTGTGTTCGAGAATAACCCTCCATTCTGGCCCTACACTCTAGACTACGCTATCAACCACGAGTGTATGATCACCCCTTGCCCGAAAAAGTCATTTCCAGGACTCTGGGAGGTGGGTATGGTGATGTGGGTGGATTTGAGAGGAGGCCGCTGCTCCATGACAGATGCCTGTTTTAATGCCCAGGACGAAGAAGGAGTTATTAAATTTTTCCGGAAAAATTTTTACCGTCATTACAACTCCAACCGAGCCCCACTGGGGTTGTTCTATCATTCGGCCTGGTTCACAACCCCCCATCATAAAAAGGGGTTCATGAAATTCCTAGACGAGATCCTCAGTAAAGACGACGTCTGGCTAATCACCAACTGGCAACTTATTGAGTGGTTGAGAAACCCGACACCTATATCTAAATTAAACAGTTTCGATCCCTGGCAGTGTAGACGGAATGATCGCCCCCCTCCGTGCCATAATCCAAAAGTGTGCAATGTGCGGAGCAAGAACGGTGTACGATACATGAAGACCTGTCAGAAATGTCCCAAGTATTACCCCTGGGTGGGGAAGACGGGTTACAAGTAGGACAGGTAGACTGGATAACATCTAACTGTCAGTGGTTGCGTTTTATACTGTTACATAAGCATACTCTAGAAGATACGTGTATACATTACAGAATCCAACAATAGACACTTCACCGCCCTCTACCGTTATGTCATACCTCTCATTAAGAACCTGTCTTTTTTTTTTGTAGTGCTTTTTTTATTTGTTTTCACTTTTCTTGCTGTGATAAACTTAATTTCTCTCTGAATGGACGGAATAACTTAGAGGAACAATAAATGTTTCTTAATTTAATTCAGTTCCTTTTTTTTGTCGTATATCTTACCACAGAGCACAAAAACAAAACTGAAACCTATTGTAGCCCTGGAATGTCACTATTCTGTAAAGGGTACACACTTATCCTAAGTTTCATCTTTCACTAACGTGGTGGCGAAAAGTAAAAAAACAAGCACATCATTATCAGTAGTATTAGAAACAGTAACTTATAACACTCAGCAGTATTAGAAACAGTAACTTATAACACTCAGCAGTATTAGAAACAGTAACTTATAACACTCAGCAGTATTAGAAACAGTAACTTATAACACTCAGCAGTATTAGAAACAGTAACTTATAACACTCAGCAGTATTAGAAACAGTAACTTATGACACTCAGCAGTATTAGAAACAGTAACTTATAACACTCAGCAGTATTAGAAACAGTAACTTATAACACTCAGCAGTGTTAGTAACAGTAACTTATGACACTCAGCAGTATTAGAAACAGTAACTTATAACACTCAGCAGTATTAGAAACAGTAACTTATAACACTCAGCAGTATTAGAAACAGTAACTTATAACACTCAGCAGTATTAGAAACAGTAACTTATAACACTCGTACATCATTAGAAACAGTAACTTATAACACTCGTACATCATTTACTGTTAGGTTAT